AGGTATCAGGATGAAATCCTTAGACCCCCAACGCTGGTGCAGTGGGTCCTGTGTTCCTCCTGGTGCACGACAATGCCCGGCCTCATGTGGCGAGAGTATGTAGCCAGTTCCCTGAGGATGAAGGAATTGATACCATTGAATGGCCCCCACGCTTGCCTGATCTGAATCCAATAGAACACCTCTGGAACATTATAGGGTCTATTCACGAAGCTGTCGAAGGATCTGGCCGATCCTTCGGCTAGCTTCGGCCCCAGGACCCCTTCGGTTCAGTAGAACCGAAGGGGTGCTGTACGGCCTATTCACAATAGCCTGCACGTGTATACAGCTACCCCTGGGTGTCATGCCTGTTTCTTTTCTGGGTGTACAGACTTTTATGCATCACAGGACATGTAACAGTGTTCGGCTCACTTCACTTCAGATCGGTTATTCCCTCGGCAGCTTCGTGAATAGACCCCTATGTCTCGGTCCATCCGACGCCTAAATTGCACCTGTTTGTTCAGGAGCTCAGTGATGCACTGGTCCAGATCTGGGAGGCGATACCCCAGGATAACATCCGTCGTCTCATTAGGAGCATGCCCCGACATTGTAAGGCATCCATACAAACTTTAATGAGAACCATTTTGAGCTGCTGCAAAGAAATTTCAGCACAACCGACTAGCCTGCTGCATCATTTGTTCACTTTGATTTTTAGGGGGGGGTCTTTGAATTCAGCCCTCTGTAGGTTCATAATTGTTTTTCATTTCCATCAAATAATGTGGCATCCTTTCGTTCCTAACACATTACCCAGTCCAGTATACAGTAGATCTCCAGCATGATATTTTTTCCCCATTGAGATCTGATGTGTTTTCAAAGTGTTCCTTTCATTTTTTTTTACCAGTATATATTGTATTTATTTTTTTTAAACCTTTGGTGCCATTGCAGAAACCGATTGTTCTTTGATGTTGACTAGTCCAAGTAATAGAGGAAGTGATCAGTTCTGCCAATCACATCTCCCTGTTCACACCACCCATGCTAGGGAATGAATGAAGTGTCTTGAGGTGAAATTATGGGGCCTATTCACTAAGCTGCCGTAGGCAGCCGAGTGAACAACCGACCCGAAGCAAAGTGAGCCGAACGCGGTTCGGCTATTCACTTCAGGCTGGTACAGCTGATTTCAGCCGTATATCGGCTGAAATCAGCCGCACATCGGGTGAGCCGAACATGCTCACTCTGTTCGGCCGACCCGAATTAAAAGGAGTTCGACTCAGCCGATCCAACATCTGGATCGTCTAAGTCGAACCTCCGGCAGGCTACTCGCTGCTGTTCGGTCTATTCTCATAGATGCCGAACAGCAGTGAGTAAAATAGCCGGATGCCGCTGAGCGGCATTCGGCTCAGCCCCTCTGTTGAACCGAGCAGAATAGAAAAAGTTAAAAAAGTAGAAAAAAAATAATAGAAAATGGTGACAGCTAGTTCTGCCCGACTGTTTTCTATTGGCTGGGCGGTTCTGCTGCTGTCTAAAAATAAAAAAAAAATTTCGCTATAGGAATGCATTGCCAGATTCCTATTGGCTATTTCAATTTGCAATAGCCAATAGCAAACTAGCTATTGCACCGGGCTCTGCTGCTGTCAATCACTAGATGGGACCTGATGGAGAACTGCAGGTCCCCTCTGCAAATTGAAATAGCCAATAGGAATCTAGCAATGCATTCCTATGGTGATTTTTTTTTTTATTCTGACGGCAGCCAACGGCTCCATGTCAGAATAAAAAAAAGCAGGGAAAGGTTTACTCTACTCGATCGAGCAGAGTAAACCTTTCTTGGAGAAAGTGTTTCTCTCCTGGGTGGCCGGGAGCCGCTATCTAATAGCAGGAGGCTCCAGGAGCGCCCGGGAGAGTTGGGCTGTCTGGAGATCAGTGTCCCTGGTTACCAGGAATGCTGATCTCTCTGCAAGTGGCCAGAGCCAGCTGTAAGATCACGGCTGGCTCCGCCCAGCTGTCAGAAGCAGGCTGTCGGCCGGCCACTCAAGGCATATGCCTTCGGCTCAACTAAGCTGCTTGGCCCACTTCGAGAGCTGTACGGGTTATAGTGAATAGTCCGTACAGCAGCCCTTCGGATCTACGGCTAGATCCTTCGGCAGCTTCACGAATAGACCCATATCTGTTTACATCCTGCAGCAAAAGCCTCCCTTCTCGGGCCCATGCCTGTGCAGTACATCCTCATTGACTTTTACGGGGCTTTCTCCTTGCCAGGAGACATGCAGATGGGTCCCATAGACATCAATGAGGATATACTGCATAATTGCGGCCAGGAAAGGTAAACTTTTGCTTCAGGATGTTAAAAACAAAACAAAAAACCCCCACAACATCGGAGGTCAGGCCCTTGCTTGGCAAGTATACTTCTGTGCTGGGGGAGGGTGGGATCAATAAGGTCCGTGTAAAAGGGGCCAAAAGGATAAGTACACTTTAAAACAAACAGCAGCCCCCATATTGATTTCTTGGTAGGTAAGAAAACCTTACTATTTTTCTTAATGGCCAGGGGTTATGGGGCACCGTTCTGACCATTCTGCACAGCCTAAAAGTGGATCTGCCATTAACAGAGGTCTCTGTGTCACCTCCAAAGTATTAGTTTGCTCCACCAGGAAAGGAAAAACATGTGACATTTCCAGTGACGACCACCATTTTGGCAATCTACTCTTCAGAAAAGAAGGCACATACAAAATGCCGTAGAATATTTATTAAGAAACTGAAATCTCAAATACACATATAAACTTACTTTGTGCCTCACAAATTTACATATATATAGAACATTATCCAACGTACAGTAATCAAGAATGATAGAATTCTACATAGGAAAACAAAAAAAAGTGAAGCATTTTAGATACATGCTGGTTGACACCATCTATTAAAAATGGTCGCCTGCCTACTTGCAGCTTGTCTTAAAAGGAAATGTATCACGAGATAAGCATGTTGGCAGTCATTGCCGATTTCCTGCTAAAAATGTTGGTTGCTGTGCTATTTCTCCAATTTAAACACATTCTAAGCCAGAGCTTTAGACTTGATCCAGGTCATTGGCAAAGTACCAAGGTAGGCCACTTCATCAGCATGACAGTCAAGCAGGTAACATTTTCAGAAGCGGATATCTTTAGTATTGGTCTACATTTATCACAGCGCAGGCCTCCTTCAAACCAATCATGTACAGTACTAAGCATTAAGTAATCAGAGCAATTGAAATTGGTGAAAAACATCTTTGGACCCTAAAAGTTCTATTCAGGGCTTTTCTTAAAGCCATTTGCAAAGGGATAGGCTTTCCACAGAAATAACAGCACTCATGCATGGCTCAGCACTACATTGTGGAGGGCAGGAGAGAGTATAAACATGCCATTTGTTTTTTTTTTTACCAGCCTCCAGTAGAAGATCTGGGAAGGAACCAGGGCTCAGAATATGGGAGGTGCCTGGTATACATGTTTATATGATTAAAGTTGCGCTCATTAGTTTTGCTTTAAGCTAGACAGCAATTATCCCATTGAACTACAGACTTGGTTTACATGGCATGCAAGTCTAGTCAGCTGAAAGTCCTACTAAACATGCATGCTTACCCCAAGCATAGATATTTAGTGAATGGAAAGAGGAGGAACAGTCAGCACCACTTATCTCATATGGCAGCAACGTACACATTCCAAACCCTTGGAGGAAGTCAAGTAACCAAACCTGTCAGGGCGGGGCTTACGATTGCTTCCTTTTGGATACACAGGGAGATTGAAGAGTCTGATTTTGCCAAGCTGTCTGCGAGTGTATTTTATTTGTTGTAATAAAAGTTTTGCTGTGATACTGCACAATGAGAGAAGTCAATGCTTCTGTTTGAGCTCTACGCCGGGAGTTTGTGAGTGGAGCAGTGGTGGACCAAATTTTGCGGTCAGTGGAAAGGAGTTGCTTATGGAGAATTGAATAGAGAGGAAGGAGAAAAGGCTAAAGTTATCCCAACAAGCAACGGTTGGAAAAGAGGAATGATAATCGTTGTTCCTATTATATAAGACGCAATATTTATGACCATCTGGTGAGTGCATTAGAGAGAAATAAGGAGCATGGTGATCATTTGGGATTATTGGTGCAATATAGAGAAACGAAGAGCATGGTGATAATAAATAAATAGATAAAACTTGAAGACAAGTTTTATCTATTTATTGGAGACTTTGGACTTTTTAACACATATGGGAGATTGCACATAAAGACACATGAGATTGGGCACTTTGTTTCAGTGCAAACCTATGGTTTAAAAAAACTGTGAACATACAGTCAGAAGTGTATGATTTTTGCACAGATTGAGGCACATGATTTTTGCCAAGTTTGCGCAGATTGATTTATAGATATTTCAAGGCATAGCGCAGTACAGGTGACACAGAGAAACGGTCATCTAATCTATATGCTCAGCTTAAAAATTGCGTCAGGAAAGACAACTGAAAAACACTTTTTTAAAGTCCTGTGGCCCAACAGCCACGTAGAACATTTCCTGCACAGTAGTAGAAACTGGTTTTGATTCTTAACTATTGATCTTGTTTATGAGAAGGAAACTACTCAGATACTGAATAAAAAAAATATTCTGCCATGAATGCTAGACGAGCACCCCAAGGATCTAATACATTGTACCTCACCCAATCACCAATGTATACCTCAGAAAAGCAGAAGATTGATCAAGACTGAGACTTTCCATGTCCTTTAGCTCTCAAGGTTTGTCAAATTAAAACTAGTGTGAAAAAAGGAAAAAGCAGTGTCATCTGCCCTGTAGTAGAATTCAAGTAGAAATGTATAAGGAACTCACAGAAGTTGAAAAACACTCTGCCCTTCCCAGCAATATACCAATCCCGCAATACCATGTTTTATTCAAGGCACAGAGCAGGAAATGCCAAAGCAACGGTACGCATTTAATTCATGCTATGAAAATCATTTAAGCATCAGACCACTGGGTTTATTCTGAGGCATTAAGCCCTTTACAGCATAGATGACAAACATTCCTTTGTTTATTTTCCCCAAGAGCCATTCCAGTCTTCTTAGGGTTACGTTTCCAGTAAGCTTCTCCTGATCGCTTCTTTCATATCAGCATCTGTAGGAAAGGAATTAGAGATATTAAAATCAGCATGTCCAGTTTCAGACTTTCTTTGCAGGAAAAAGACTTTTGGTAGGTTTTAATGCATTACAAAAATGTCCAACTTGACCTTGCATATAAAGAAGCATGTTTTGCGTTTTGATATACCCAGTCATTTACCGAATATTAAAGAATACAACATTTTCCTAAAAATACAAGCGTTTAAATCAATGCAATTGAAAGAAAAACTATAGTTTTTTCATATGGTTTGGTTAGTTTCATTAAGTTGCGGTATAGTTGTGGATTTTCTATGGTCAGATTGAAAAAGTGTAACACATTCCTCCATCTACGCTAAATTGTGTGGATGGAGGAATCACCCACTGGACCAAGCTTCAGTATCTTGCTGGTCGGCCCCACTGGCTCTCAAAATACCTGAACAATGCCTGCATCCAATCAGATTGTTCAGGTATTTTGAAAGATATAAAGATCCGGAAGCTTGGCCCAGTGGGAGATTCCTCCATCCGCACAGTTTAGCGTAGATGGAGGAATTTATTGCACTTTTTCCATCTGACTATAGAAAATCTGCAGATAATCTATAGGTGTATGGCCAGCTTTAAGCATGCGGCTCATGGGAGGCATTATAACCATTGTGCTGGATCTTCTGTACAGCTCCACATGTGACAGCTGACACAGGAAGCACTGTGTGAATAAAACCCTCCTGTGTCACTGATCACAGAGCAGATCAGAGAACATACGTTCTCCGTTCTGCTCCCCATCCTGAAATTACCATGTTCCCAGAAGAGCCCGCAAACCCCAGGCGGGGAGGGGGCAGGGAAGAGCAGGCTGCTATACAAGTGATCCTGGCAGATCACTTGTACTAAACAAGCGCCGGATTCCCCTGCTCTACATTTAGCCCTGCGTGCCTGAAGCAGGGCTAAATGTAGGAAAAAAAAAAAGAGAAAAAACACCCGCCCAGGACTGCATTTCTTGGGCGTTGGGCGATATAAAAAAGGTGAATTGAACAGGCTGATAAAAGCCCAGGCAACAGGACACAATTTTTCGCATTGGCGACCTGGATTTGTCGAGCCCTGAGCTATACCCAATAAAGTAATGGAAGACTCTGAAGATGTTGCTGGTATCAGTGACGTACCCCCATTTGGGAGCTCAATGAGAGTGTTTTCTGAGCATTGGTAACCCTTGCAGCTGCAGGATGATCCATGGTTAGCAACCTATACGTTTGAGGTGCAAGACATGGCGAAAACAGCTCAAGCACAGCGAAGGGGACCAAAAGATTGTTACTCGTCGCTGGCTGGCCCAACTAAATGACAGCGCTCTCACCAGCAGCTTAAGCTCTTGTGCTAGTGCCAGCAGGAACATGTCAGTAAGGTTAAATCTGACCTGAAGATTAATAAACCGGTGCGGGATGCCTGATTTGTTGCTCAGCCCACATGGTCTACTCAAATTAAAGCGAGTCTTGTGAGACAGGCTCCAACTATAGTTCTGTATCTGGAAAGCACACCACACTGACAGACCAAAGTTAGGAGAGATAGAAAGCACTTAAAGTATGAGAGAACCCAGAGGGTATTTCCAAGCTTGTCCTACTGAGGGTCAGCTTGGCAGGGTTTGTCATAGTGAGATTGAACAGCATGACCAGTCAAAAAATACTGCACTTGGCGAAGTGAAATACAGTACCAGAAGCATGTTATTAATTATATTATCGATTACATATATTATCATGATTGCTCATTAGGTTAGTCAACACAAAGAACAAGATTATTAAATGAATCTACTATTCATTCATCCAATGCATTACAGAGAAGGGAAACATCACAATGGTTTTAAAATCTAGAACTTTGAAATGACTGAATATCTACATTTGCACAGCTCAGTTTATGATACATCTCTCAATCAGTAAGAGTCAGGAAAAGGGAAAACTCTATCACATGCAAGACCTAAAAGGTCATATACTCCTCATGGCCTGTAAACTGACTGCCAACACTGGTCTGATGAGTTTATCAGTCGTAAGCATCTGTGTGACCTTTAACAAAGCAGGCATGGACATTATATGCATGTACAAGACTGAACCCAAGCAATAAGGCCTTTTAAGTCTGGTCTTTCTTAGGACAAAGTTGGATGGTTATCAGAGATACCCACTGTCCACATGTGCATTTCAGACGTAGGCAAGTACCCTAAACTACTCTCAGATAAGTGATGGGACAGAACCCATCTAGAAAGCTCACAGCACTCTGCAAGGACGGAAAACAAGGGTTTACTGAAGTCAATTTAGTGTCCCACACCACTAATATGATGGCTATTTTAGTAAAAGGAAGCAGTAAAGATCTTTCTAGATCAAAACACGTAGGTTAATTGACAAGACGCACACATAATTGGTTCAAAAAGAGACATGCAACTGGCAAAACTACAAGTCATGCAGGATTTAAAGAAAAATCATTCACACAAGATTAAGACAAACCTTCATCCTGCCCCATGGAATTTATTTCCATGTCTTCATCAAGTGTTTCTGTTGAAAAGAAAATATTCATCTCACTGAGCTAACTATGGCAAAACTACATAGTAGGGATGCACCAAAATTACATTTTTAGAGCAAAATAAAAACAATTAAATATAAATTTGTCAGGCTGAAACCAAAACTGACTTTTTCCAAACCTCTTTAACTACTTGAAGTCTGGGGTGTTTACACCCCCTTCCTGTCCAGGGCATTTTTTTGTATTCAGCGCTGCGGTACTTTGACATTTATGGAGTCTTGCAACACTGTACCAAAATTAATTTTAAAACATTTTTGTTGGGACAGATAAAGCTTTCTTTTGGTGGTTTTTAATCACCACTGGGTTTATTTTTTACTATATAAAAAAAAGGAAAAAAAAAAAAAAAGAAGAAAAAACCCGAACATTTTGGAACAAACTAACACAGTTTTCCCGACATTATGTTATACAACTATTGTTACCCAATTTTTCGGTAAAATATAAAAGAGACTAGTGTCTATTTACTAGACCCCCAACACATCAAGCCTTAATGTTCCGTACGCAAAACAATTTTACCATACCCAAAATTGGCCATAGGTGACGCTTTAAAAGCTTTTACTGCGCATCAATTTAGTGTTACTGGCCCTAAAATTATTGCTCACACTCCAACGTTCGTGGTATATGTAACATACATGTGTGCTGTAATCATTTCCATACGTAGGCGCACCCGACGTGTATTTACATTTGTATGTATATGTGGAGGCGGGGAACTTTATGGAGGCATAAGGGGTCTATGAGACAACTAATGTCACCTAGGGAGCCCCCAACAAAGCTGATGAAGCCTATAGCAGCCAGAGAAATGACAGGCTAAAGGCTGTTTAAAACGATTTCCGATTCCTGCTCATGCGTGTGAGCAATAATGATGATAAAAAATAGCTGTACATGAACTTCCACCCGCAGTAAAGCGCTTGCGGTCCATCTGTTTATATACAAGGGGCGGACGGCAAGAACAAAATTATTTTTACATTTTTTATGTAAATTTTTAGTACTTTACTGTTTTCGGGGCTTTGGGGAAATATCAGGGGTCTAAACAGACCCCTGATATTTCCCTTGTAAAATATAAAAACATTGAGGACCCATCCTAAATCTCTTTTCCAACCTGACTCAGGAGGTTGAGCGGGGCGGTGCAGGAGGAGAGCTCAGCCTCCTGTGACAGCCGTCTCCTTCCCGCACCGCCACACACGGCCCCCTGACAGTTTCTTTCCTCCCCGCCGGGCGCTAGCCGGTGTCCTCTCCGATCCATGCTGCCTCTGCCAACACAGGTAGGGGAGAGGAGCGGGGAGAGGAGGGGACACAGAGTGGCGCTCAGCGGGGAGGAGAGAAGCTGGGGATGCACCTTATTTTCGGCCGTCTTGGTACTAAAAATCGGCATTTTGCCCATGGTACCATTTTCAGCAGACATTTTTCGGCAGCTAAAATTTTGGTGCATCCTTACTACATACAAAAGAAAATATTGAAGAGCATATTTGCAATGCCAGGGACACTGCCTTTCGCTGCTTATGAACCCTCAGTTAACCAAGTAAATTTGTGCTTTGCCCATGCAGACGGGCTGCATTTCAGCTTTAGAAACCCCTTAAATTGTAATGTAAGCTGAAATGCTTGAAACAGATGCATACCTTGTGTAGTTTCTGATATGCTGTTAAGTAAAGCACACATCACATCTCCTCCAACTTGGTGAGGGTTTATAACATGAGCTGGACGTTGAGTCTTCTTGAACTGGTTTTCCAATTCCATGAAACCTTTATCACCAGAAAGGACAGTGAAAGGAATCTGCTTAGGGAGTCGCTCATCTAAACGACCAGCCTAAAAAAACAAAAACACATCAAAATCATTTTGGACTGCCTCTACGACAACCCTGCTGTATTTGTCCCTGTGAATTAAATTACTCCTTACTTCTAGTCCAGATAATACCCAGAGCACTGCTGTGAGCTAAAGCTAGCCATGCACCAGACACATTTTGGCCAGTTCTTGATGAACCATCAATCAGCTGATTGAAGGAGCAGTTTGCAAAATCTTCGAACGTAGTGGGCAGCCAATGAGCTGCCTGCGCTGTTCGGGCATTCCGACAGTGGCTGGCGGCCGCTGTCAGAATACAATGAGGACAGCAGAAGATTCCTTGATAGACGTTCGTAAGCGTTGATGGAGAAATCCAACATTTTCTTCACTCAGCCCAGGGTTTGTATGAAGAAAATATAAGTGTATGGCCAGCTTAAGCTTCTTTGTTCCCCCTCTCTTTACAGTACATTTTGCATATATTCCCCAGAATCCAAGAGGGGTTGGCTACAGGGTGAAACAAAATAGTTCAGCTAACAGCAATGCCCTGGTTTTCACTGTGAAATGCACTTAAAACAGCTTGACAGAGGATCTAAATTTAAACTTCCACTTTAAGGAAAGAGATAGTTTCTCTATCTGTAAAAAAATAAGTCAAGGCAACTGGACTTGCTATATTTTTCTTGAAGATGTTTCACTAGCCATCCGAATGGCATCAGAATGACTTGTACTTGGGAATAAACATGGTGAATGTTGCTCCAATCCACATTATTCTGTCACAACCAGGTGTTGATTGTATTTGCATAATTGGAGACTAGTAGGTGTTCTTAACCTGCCCAGAGAGGTGTTAAAACAGTGCTCAGAATTGTATGTTGGTGAAACAAAACAGCAGCTACACCAGCGTATGGCACAGCATAGAAGAGCCAAACCCTTTGGTCAGGATTTGGCAGTATACCTACATTTAAAAAGGAAAAAGGTAACTCCTTTGAAGACAGTCAATACACATCCTAGACAGGGAGGAGGACTGTTTTAAAAGAGGTGTGAAAGAGGCCATTTATGTAAAAATGGAGAAGCCAAGCTTGAATATGAGGTGGTGGGGGTGGGGGGGGGCAGACATCTATTGTCTGCCACATATAACTCCAATTATGCAAATGCAATCAACACCTGGATGTGACTAACATTATGACATTATGTGGATTGGAGCAACATTCACCATATTTATTTCCAGATAATTTTTTTGTACAGAACACCAGTGAAACGTGTTCAAGAAAAATACAGCAAGTCGAGTTGCCCTGACTTATTTTTTTACAGATATACCATGACCTGGATGAATGAGAACCTTCACAGGTGAGATAGAGAAAAAAGGTGGGGTCATGCTGAAAAAGTGGTGCAACATAACAGGAAGAAAAGACCTGCATGTGACTTCTAAGCTACTAAGGCAGACTTTGCCTAGCAGAAAAATAAAACAGCAGCGTCAGTCAGCACATGCGGCATATTAAAACCAATGATATACAAAACTTACGTGAAGACAAATGGCAAAGTCGGCAGCATCTTTACGGTCACTGCAGTGAGGGTGAAGGAAAAAACAGCCAGTAGTGGAGAGATTCTTAAAATATTTGCAGTCCATCGGAGGTTTCCATCCGCTCTTCCCTCCTATAACATGTAAATAGAATTTTAAATGTTCTATAACCCACAGCTGTAAAAAGGAAAAAAAAACCCACAAGTTTAGAAGCCTCTATAAAAAAAAGTTACTTCTGGGATGTTTTTTTAAAATTAGTCATACTGAAGGTGTGGCAGAACCTCATTTAAAGCGATTATCAATGCTCTTAAGGATTTTACTTTTAGGGTGGAGTAGTTAAGGAATATTTTAAAACAGAAATGTTCACATTTGCCTTTAATCCCTACATAACAAGGTTCCCCATTACCCTAACCCTTTAGTATTAACAGTATACACAGCACATAGTGACATTAATGAAGATCACTACAGCGGCAAGTCATCATGCAAAAATGAGGCACCTGTCTCTGCAAGTACAAAATATACACTTTTTATGAGGTTCTATGAGCGATCCAAATATCCAGAGATCCAACATGAGACCTTGACCTTAGCCATGGTAAGTGCCCAGTTCTCTTGACAATCACAGGTAATTTTGGTTATAGAGTTGCCTGTCTGGATCATCCAAGTCACAAATATTGAAAAAATAAGCCGCTTATGCAGTAGACTCCACTGATTTAACTCCCCAGATTGTGGTGCAGAAGCAACCAATACTGTACTTCAACTTATAGAGATCAAGCTAGCACATAGAAATGCAAAGTACTGCTGCCCTCAGCAACTGCTGAAAGCAGGACTGTCAAGTGACTCGCAGATATGGTCTTTTACTCATTGTAACGCGTCTCTCGTCTTATGCAGCATCCCTCCTACCTCCACCCAAACCTGTAGTATACCCCTTAGCCTTAACCACCATTTCCTCTAGTATGTCATTGCCAATGCTTCATATATTGAATATTATGTGCAGCCCCCTGGTGATGTCAGGGGCTACAGCTGAGGTGTTATAAGCCTCATAAGTTGACAACCACTGTTCTAATAGCTTAGCTGCAGGACAGATCTCTGTAAAGCAGCTAAATTAGGCAATTAACCTACAAGTCCAGACAAAACAAAAAACACACACACACACACACACACACACACACACACCTTTCCTAGTTTTGGACTGGGAAACAATCAGAACTCTGGTCAGGTTTATACGGCTATCTTGAGAGATTCATCTTCACCAAATAGTAGGATGGAGGAAGAATTTAATTTCTGTTTGTGCCCCTTTTGCAGAATGTTTCCCTCATCTACGAAGAAGCGCATTTGTATTTGTCTGTGTTGTTGTAAGTTCTCCTTAAAGAAATTTCTTTAAAAAAGGAGCCCCAGGTGGCAGTAAAGACTTCATAGGTGTTCTAATCCATCCCCCAAAAAGGGTTTGTGCTTGACATTAGGGTGGCAGCTAACGATTATTTTCATAATTGATTAGTTAGCCACTTTGATTAAATCTATCGGATTAAAAAAATACCGTTTTATTTTGTTTAAAATAAAATACACAAATGCAGCTTTACAGACAAAAGTTTACTTCAGAATAAAACAGTATGCACATTGTTTGCAATCGCACTGCACTGGAACGCAGGGCATTGCAGTACAGCGCATTCCAGTGCAGGCGATCACATTGGTGCATTTGGTATCCATCGGATGAATGGCACCGCAACGCACCTCGGGCAGCAACATTTGTCAGGCCGAAACACACATACATATTACATACATACAAACACACACGTATTTAAATGAGTAAGCCGTTTTATTCCAGTAGACGAGATGTAAAAAAAAAAAAAAAGCTGAGTGTTGCAGTATGAAAGGCATCATGGCATTCTGCAATACTCACATTTTTCACACACGCTCATGCTGAAGCGCACAGTGGTCGCCAACTGTCTGCAGAGTCAATAGCTACAGACCTCCAAACTCTGTGTGGCCTTCAGATTGGCACAACAACAGTGCGTAGAGAGCTTCATAGAATGGGTTTCCAAGGCCGAGCAGCTGCATCCAAGCCTTACATCAGCAAGTGCAATGCATAGCGTCGGATGCAGTGGTGTAAAGCACGCCGCCACTGGACTCTAGAAGTGGAGACATGTTCTCTGGAGTGACCAATCACGTTTCTCTGTCTGGCAATCCGATGGACGTGTCTGGGTTTGGCGGTTGCCAGGAGAACGGCACTTGCCTGACTGCGTTGTGCCAAGTGTAAAGTTTGGTGGATGGGGGATTATGGTGTGGGGTTGTTTTTAAGGGGTTGGGCTTGGCCCCTTAGTTCCAGTGAAGGGAACTCTTAAGGCATCAGCATACCAAGACATTTTGGACAATTTCATGCTCCCAACTTTGTGGGAACAGTTTGGGGATGGCCCCTTCCTGTTCCAACATGACTGCGCACCAGTGCACAAAGCAAGGTCCATAAAGATGAGCATGGCTGAGCGAGTTTGAGGTGGAGGAACTTGACTGGCCTGCACAAAGTCCTGACCTCAACCCGATAGAACACCTTTGGGATGAATTAGAGCGGAGACTGGGAGCCAGGCCTTCTCATTCAACATCAGTACCTGACCTCACCAATGCGCTTCTGGAAGAATGGTCAAACATTTCCATAGACACACTCCTAAACCTTGTGGACGCCTTCCCAGAAGAGTTGAAGCTGTTATAGCTGCAAAGGGTGGGCCAACTCAATATTGAACCCTGCGGACTAACACTGGGATGCCATTAAAGTTCATGTGCATGTAAAGGCAGGCATCCTAATACTTTTGGCAATATAGTATATGTTTATTAAAATGAAACTCCGTAAGCGCAAGGATTCCATGGTAATACGGTGTTTTCCTCATGTTAACTTGAGCAGCTTACTGAAACACTCGAGTATA